ATAGCAACTGATAGTGAAGGCAATGATTGTATAGAATTCAATTTAGGAATGGGATCATAGTTGTTTGTTGAAGGGGACTTTATTCAACGTGGGCGTTAATTGTACACTTAATATTTTCTTCACTGCCCATAATGTAAAGGTTTTCATAAGAAGAATCCAATGAAGGTGATGTAAACGAAAATTACTTACTGATTTTAGGCAATAAGTACCGTGGTACCTTTTACCTAAAGTCATTAAATTTCGTTTAACTGGCAACGGGAACCGAGGGGTATATACACAAATTCTATACCATGACGTTTTTAATTCAGAAGATATAAAATTTTATCATAATCAAATGTTAAAATTACTTACACCGTCAAAAATAAGTAGTATTTACTTTTTTATAACTAAGGTATCCTGGGAGACCCTGAAGCGATTTAAGGGTAATGTGTAGAGGAAGTCTGCTCCCTACAAACAAATCCGTTGACTTGAAATTCCTAAAATAAAATTATAATATTAGGACGTAGAAACCAAATTATCATGACTCAGTTCTTTTCGCTCAAACGTAATTTCTATTACTCTTGATGTGTTGACTCCCTGTTTTATCTGTGCAGAAATCAACTCGGATACAATCCGCTGTTGGGGTGGTTTTGTCGGACTCTAACCGAATAAAAACTGCACGCCGTCTCGGGTACCAGTAGCCGGGGAACAGGTGTACCCTAGAAAGAAAATCTGTGGTATCCTGACGTACCTCGAGCTGTCTACAGCTTGTAGATGACCCCCTCCTGTGTGGGAAACCTAATGCTCCCTTTTTACCCTTGATAGAGAGTTTGCACTCCGCAGCGCGTCTCGCCGCAGGACTGCTTCTGCTAAGGTGACGGATGGCCTCACCTGTCACCTCCAGGCCTGCGTTTTTGAGGACGGGGGTCGTTGAGTGGCGCGCCTGAGTTATTTGTAAGACAGCGGAGTTCCACGCGCTATCACTCCGTACCATGATACCGAGTGAAAGAATTGCCACTCCGATAATCGATCTCTTGCCTCTGGCGTTTTCCCAGATATCTGGAAGGCGGCGAAGGTTGTACCACAATCTACAATCGCGATCACGTAAGTCACTATAGGACAATTTCAATATTATCTGTCTTCGCCAAGATTTTGGAGTCCTTGTACATACAGTCTCATTTGAAACTTTTCCTTAGTAATTCTCAACGTGGCTTTCTGAGTTCTAGATCTACCTGCACAAACCTGGTAACGTCACCAACAAGGCCAACAAGATATCGTCGTACAGAGACAGACTTTTACATTTTAATATGATATCCCTACAGAAGAGGAGAGATTTACTGGATTATGGTTTTTTATTTAAAACTCTGAGACACAAAATTAACTGTCCCCAATTATTGAGCAGGATTAAAATCCGTGTACCTACGAAAATTCCAAGAGCTCCTATAACTCCCTTACATCCTTCTCTTCGCAGAACCGCCCTTGGTGCTAATTCTCCTATCACCGCCTCTACGAATTGTCTGAATCTCATCGATGTGCACTCTGACTCACTTAGTAGGTTCAGAAGTGCTATTTACAGTCTTGTGAAAGCGTCCGTGTTATTGGTCCACTATAGTTCTTGCTTTGTAACTTTGATTTTCAAATATATTTATTTTTGTATAAAAGCCATCATTATTTGCAGTGTCTTAGGATTAGTGTAATTTAAAATATTTTATATTGTTAAATTGTATTGTTGTTAGTGCATGATGTGCTTACCTATAAAAATTGTTACACTATAGTTTATAAGTCTATTAAATGTATCTAATGTCTTTGTATCAGTGTATACAATTGTTGGTGAGCCACGGTCCGGCCATTGCAGTGGTGCCACTCAGGCGTTGGCTCCTTGCGGAGCAGACACAGGTGATCTTCGAAGTATCCTTTCCTGGTGATTACTTACGTCAGCCGGTATAAGAGGCCTCTCGAGCCAATCCTCCATAACGGGTCTTATCGTCGTAATTACGGCGTGCCCGGCCCAAGTCGTTCCTTTCATTCCTTAACGAGGACTTGGCGGAGTTGGGATTTCTGATCCTCGATTTCTCGAGAATCAGAACTCTCACCCCATTTAAGCGATTCCTTGTGCCACTGATATAGAAATGCAAGGGCTCTCGCCAAAAAAAAAAAAAAAAAGGAGATGACGACGAGGAGTACGACGTTGCTGGTTTTCAGGGCCTCCGCCCTTACTTAGGCCCTATAATGGGCCAGTCTTCTGCTGGAGTCATTGGGTCCCCTTATGTTGAGCAGCAGCCGTGGCAATGCACGCGCTGCTCCAACCAACTTGGGGACCAGACCTCGGAAGTAATGTCCGAAGTCCCACCGGTCATTGAGCATGAGTCCCAGATACCTCATCGAGGGCTCGATGCCACAACTAGTGAAAGAAAGAAGAAATAAATCGTATTTTATTTTTTAAAACACGACAATTTTTTTATTAAAATACAGGTAAAAATTGACAAAACCAAAAAACATACAGTTTCAAATGTGCCAGCCATGTCACGCACAATGTGGCAACACTGGCTACGTGGCACTCACCACAGCGGCACAGCCACACTCAACACTGGCACTCACGTGTTAAATGTAAACAGCTCGTTTTTTTTTTATACAATCATTAAATACTTTGGTTGCAATTAATTCATTATGTTAGTGAGAGATGCGTCGTGTATAAGAAATTTAGATGAACACTCAGCATACCTACCTACCTACTACTACTACCTACTAGTGCCTCCTACTATGAGGCTGCATCCTTCAGGTGGCTTCCCCCGAGTTCTATAAAAGAACAACCCCTCGGATTTGTACAAAACCACTTCAAGACCCAGCCACCGGATCCGCTCCACGACTTGGTCAACTCCGGCCGTGGCCCTAACACCGAACCCTGAGGAACACCGCACGACATTTCACGTTTACTGAGACTAGGACTAGGGACCCCTGCGACACTGCGGGCCTGACACGCACTTGACCGGTTATTTTTATTCGCATATATGTTAACAATCCGCAATTAAAACTGAACTGTAATATAATTATAACCCATATGAAACTAATATGCATTTATTGACGTTACCTGCTGATTAGCTTCAAGCATTATTGCTAGAAGCAATTACGTGTCTCTCAATATGAGGAATATAATTAAAGTATTTATTTTTATGCTTATAATCATCGAAGGGATTCAGGCTAAGAAACATGAATTTACTTTTGGTATGTTAACTTTATTTTTTAGTCAACTTTAAGCCTCATAAATATTGGAAAAGCTTTTTGTAATAGTGCTGATTTCTTTTGCCACATGAAATCTTCTGGGTAATTTATTTAAATATTCATTCGTATACACACATTATTTGATGTTACAGATAAGATTCCTAACTTTAGTTTCTTTTGATATTTATAACTTAGGTATAGACATTTTTTTAAGATGTGGCAATTAATAATATCCCTAAAACTATTTTTTATAAATTTATGCACAAAATGTACAATGCCGACTTAATGCCATAGGCATTCTCTACAATTCTACCGTAGAGTGGTGTGGAAATGAATAAAGAGGTGCACGACACTTTGGTTGAGAACAAAAAAGTAATAAATATTAAGAAACATTGTCTCTAAGAAAGAGAAGGGAAGAAATGAGAATAGCAGTGAAATAATATAAATAAAGAAATAATATAACGCATACATTATACAAGAATACATTCACATATAGATACATACATATATATAAACTAGCTGACCCGCGCAACTTCGTCTGCGTCTGTCAATAGTAATACATTTTCTCCGTTTTTGAAACATTCTTCATTGGTGATCCGCTCCTATTGGTCTTAGCGTGATGATATATAGCCTATAGCCTTCCTCGATAAATGGGCTATCTAAAACTGAAAGAATTTTTCAAATCGGACCAGTAGTTCCTGAGATTAGCGCGTTCAAACAAACAAACAAACAAACAAACAAACTCTTCAGCTTTATAATATTAGTATAGATATGCACATACATATATATATATATATATATATTCTCATCATTCTCACTATTCTCTACACTATTCTCAACTCTCCTAACTCGCCTACATACTTGACATCCTCCTTCCAGTTCTTGTGCTCCAATCATAACAGAACCCTTCGCTCTACAAATAATCTTCTACTATATATATAACACAATATATATGAATATGAATGTATGTATTCTTGTATGTTTACGTTGTTATTTTTATATTATGTCATTGCTTTTTGCTCAGTATTACTAACATTACTTCTTTTATGTCCACTTTATAATTCTCAACCAAAGGGTAGTGCACCTCCACACTCATTTCCACACCACCCTAAGGTAGACTGGTAGAGAATGCCTATGGTACTTATGTGCATAAAGTTGTTAAATAAATAAATAAATTATTTGTAGAGCGAAGGGTTCTGTTATGATTGGAACATAGGAACTAGAAGGAGGATGTAGGCAAGTTAGGAGAGTTGCGAATAGTGTTGAGAGTCGTGAGTGCGCGCATGTGACGACGCTGACGAATTGGGAGCCAATTTGACGAACAGAGGAAACATGATCATTTTTACGAAGGTTAAAAATGAATCGAATGCAGTTGTTCAGAAGTCGGTCGTATCTGTTGAGTAGATCTACATTCAGGTCATAGTAGCATACATAACCATAATCTATAATGGGTATAATTGCACTGCACGGACTGCACGGATGGCGTAGTGGTTTAAGCGGTCGCCACGCTGCTTCCTACTACGTCGAGTGTTGTGGGTTCAAACCCCACACGGGACGACACTTTGTGTGATCCACAAATTGTTGTTCTGAGTCTGGGTGTTCTTTGTGTTCGTTTCATGTATGTTTGTAAAGTACCCCGCGACACAGGAATGGATTCCTAATTCGGGAGTTGTCTTTAAAAAAGAAAAGAAAAAGAAAAGAAAACGATTTCGAATTTCATTTCGTCTCAATTATAATGACAAAACATAGTTTCTTGTTATGGTATTTAATATTTTATTAAATTTAATTATTTTCAAATCTAGGCTCGAATCGTGGCCAGATATTCTACACAGCTCACGGCCTACTTACCACTTGGGCTACAAACGTGACTATACCAGTAAGTATCGCAGTCAATTTAAAAACAAAAAAATTATATATGAACGTTTTCCTATGGCTGTCACCTGGTTTTCGGACTATCGATAGCCCTAAACTGAGAAACTTATCTTCCGAGGTAGAAAATACAGGAAGATTTCTTTGACTATTAAATATTTACATATTACAATCAAGAACACTGTTTGTAAGGCAGTACAATTTTTCTAAGTATCTAAACCTGACAACTATGTCCTCCACAAAGATCTACATCGCTTATTATATTTCAACATAAATCACTACATAATAACTTTGAACTGCCGATTTCACTTAGGCTGATCGGCAAAGAGCTTTCCGTCCTTCCTTACTTTTATTGGTATATTTATATGCACGAACATATTTTTGAGGTCTATTAGGATGTTATTCCGACTACTAAATAAATAACACATTTTTTTAATATACGCCTTCATTCGCGTTACTAATTCAATCGAACTTTCTTTTTCGTGTCTCAATTTATATTGTGTTCCAGGTTCCAGATAACATGCGAATGATTTTTATCAAGGTGATTGTAGACTCCACACAAGAACCCAAAGTTAACTACGACCACCAAAGTAAGACAATCAACATCAAGTACTCCTGGCATCAAGCGCCTTCGTCGTCTTTCAAAATTATAGCTCAAGGCTACCTTTTCGATGATAAACCTCATCTTGGATAGTAGTCCAAACTCAATGATAAGATTTTATAGTGTTTTACAGCAGAGCTTACCATAACCACCCTATAATAGTATGACAGTAAACTGAAAAAAAGGTGTAGGTACTATAATAAATTGACAATCAAGTTACAATACCTACACCTTTTTTTACCTATCCTACCCTACTTTTTGTACCTACACAAAAACAATATATATTATCTCATCATCAATATACATCATTAATGTATCTCATCTTATTTCAATATACCTATATATATATTATTATATATCTCAGCCGAAAGACGTCCACTGCTGGCAATAGGCCTCCCTCAAGTTTCGCCACAACAACCGGTCCTATGCTGACAGTATCTAACGACTTTACAATTACTTCTTTCTACTTCTTCTCCTTGTGTATTATGTGACCTCGAAATTATAACTGACAAAATGTATTGATGTTCAAATAAATAATTTTCTTTGAAATTCAGTGTAAATTTTTGTTTTTTTTTACAACTTCATGCACAAATGCATGCAACGACGGACTTAATGCCTAAAGCATTCTCTACGAGTCCAACGATTGGGCGATGCAGAGAAACGATGTATGTAACGAAAAGTTACTAATATTGCAAAAAAGCAAGAAACGTCACGTCACGTGTTTTTACGAAATAACGGGGGTAACGAGTAGACGCGTCCCCTGATGGTAACTTAGTCTTCTGAAACTAAATCCCGCCCCAGAATAGAGAAGACGGGCGGGGTGAGTCTTCTTCAACGTCACTCACTCGCTCTTTTTTGAATACGGCCGAGGGAGAAGTTGGTACTGAGGTGCCCGTGCATAGAGATGAGAACAGTGTACCATATGCGGCCGGACTTGCGATTTATAGAGTTGGAAGCGATGAGCTGGAGTGATATACTGCCTCGATCTGCTCAGCACACCGAGCTTCTTCGAGGCCAATTTGACCTTACCCTCTAAGTGACCACGAAACAGAACTTCGCTCGATATGGCGATGCCTAGGATTCCGATACTGGCTGGAGCAGTTAGGGATCTCGAAGGGAGGCTATATGACAAACGGTATCTTTTTTTACGGTGAACACGTAAACCTGTCTTTAGCTTAAGCTGATAGCGGGAAAGTTTTCGAAGCTGGATGGTCTTCCGAGTGCAAAAGGCGTTCTTCATTGAAAACAGTGGTGAGTGCCTGGTTGTCTTGAGCAAGAGAATCGGGTGGAAATTTGAAGCGAGGTTGAATTAGATGGCATGAGTGAGAAAATTCTGCTCTCTCATCATTTGCAAGCTGTGTTGGAGGTAATTAATTGCCTGTGAGTTGTACTACCTGTTGGTCCAAAAACCTCTTCCCATACCCAGTTTGTAGCACCTTGTGTTTTACAATTTAGGATGGGTGCCTCTAAAACAATATATAACATGACACGTTGTAATGTTAATAAAACAAAATTGTGTACTTTGGCTAGAATTATATCTGTATAAATAAATTTTAGGAATATATCTTTACCAACATACATGAAACAGACACAAAGAACACCCAGACTTAGAACAACAACTTGTGGATCACAAAAAGTGTCGGTCTATGTGGGGATCGGACCTACAACACTCGGCGTAGTGGTAAGCGGCGTGGCGACCGCTTAAACCACTACACCATCCGTGCAGTCAGAATAATAAAAGATAGTACCTATTTTAAGGCTTTGTTGGCAATTTATACATGGAATAAAGGTCAAGGTCTCTCAATGTAAAACCAAGAATAAAGATACATTTACACATACATAGAACCCATAATCTTAAAATTACTTTCGACGAACAAGATTGTATGTGAATTTACAACTATAATTTTTATGTAATTGCCATGTACTCGTAAAAAAAGTAGTTTGTTAAGAAATGTCGTCATATTCATTAGTTATTATAATAGTGTTATTGTAATTTACATTAAGGGTGTTTCGCCTATTTCGTGCAAATTCGGTGAAAATTCTAAATTGCAAATTATTGTCAAAAAACTTATTTTTTTTTTCTTATTGCATTACTATATACTTAATTCTTCAACCTTTTATTGTTTCTACCTTATTTTTGTGAAAAATAATGAAATTATTAGCATATCAAAAATTGGAATGAGATAGTAATGAAAATGTTGGGGAGGGGAATGATTTTGAGTCGTTAGCTGTGGAAATAACACAAAATGTTGTTATACAAAGATGCATTTTTAATATTTATGATTCAAGAATCTAATTGCTATAGAAATAATGATCATAACATAATATGGGCCATGTCTCCATGCCTTCCTTAAAAAAAATTCTTTATTAATACAATCAAAATCTAATTTATCTAAATATATTAATTACTAATTTTTGGTAATCCGAGATCAAGAATAAGAAAAGTCTCTCTTTACAAATCTTAAAATCATTTCACAGATTTGTATCTTCTTTGTCGGTTTCATAATTCCAAAAGTCAATTACTCGTAATTTCTTCTGCTTTTCATATATTTCGTCTTTATTTTCTTTTGTGTAATTTTCATTACTACTCTTACCCATAATAAACTTTTCAGTCTGTTTGATAATTATTACTAATTTGTTTCTTTAGCAAGTTTTTCCTTATTAATGTAAAATTTATTTGCCCAATCAGTCAAATTTATATCCGACAGTATTTTAACCTTTGGTGAGTACGGTCTATTTGGCAATTTATCTTCGAATCTGATTGATGGTTCAGAACGAGTAATTGAAAAATCTGGGTTGCTTATTTATTTTATGAGTTCTGGTGTTGTATTCTCATCAATAAAACTCTGAAACTGGCTAGAATTGACATCATCATGAAAAGTATTCCTTTTCATGATGACGTCAATTCTAGCCAGCCTAAGTTCCAGGTCACAGATTTTGCTGGCTGATCATATAAAAAATAAAACGATTTCGATATTGACTTGACACAGTACATTTTGTTTCCGACAGTCCACTGTCGGAGACAAAATGTACTGTGTCAATCTGGCTTGAAAGCTCCATCACATACGCAATAGTCGGTATCAAATGTGCCCAAACAGCTGCTGCATCGTGTTGGGTACATTCACTTACTGTGCAAAAGCCATATTGTTTTTGAATTCCAACTTCTGGATCTATCAAATAGATAACACATGTGTGCAATGATAACTGCATCCTACTTCCACCACAATGAAAACTCTGCATTTCCTCGTAATATTTTACGCAGTATTTCTCACTAAAATCAACATGAATCACTGCTTCTTATGGATTAAGATTATTTTTAAGCTCTTTAATATTTTTATACTGAGTTAAAATATTAGTGCAGTGTTTCATATAGCCAACGAGAGAGTTTTTAAATTTTGAAATATAATATTTCGTTTTGTCAACAAATCAACATTAACGTGAACTTTGCAAGCACACATATATCTGCTTGATTCCTGTGGGTATAAAACCCAAAATGGACGATATTTACAAAAGGTTTGATGCGTTACCTTGACATTTGAATTATGCATAAACTTCTTGTAAAAATTAGTCAATGTGTCTGTTAAGTATCTTTTCTGCTTTCTTATTTTGTTTCTAGTAATGTAACATCTTTTATCAGCTGCAATTCTAGTTACTGCGTCATCATCGAAAAACTCCAAAATTAATTGCTCTGTTAAGTTCTCACTCTTATGTGTTTTCGTCAAGAGCTTATATCTTTATTTTTTTTATTTTTCCGTCATTACCACATGAGAAAACTCTTTTTTATCTTTTTTTTTCAAACACGTATACCCTTTTTGAACACTACTTCTAAGGAGCTAAACATTAGTTTCTTTTTAATTTCTTCACGTTTTTCAATGCCTTCATTTTGTACCAAATATTATATTTTTTCTTCAGTCGTTATATTTGCATTTTTCTTCTCATTTTTCATTGCTTTATAAAACATTTTTCTAATGGCATCTTTCTGTTTTTTTAATTTTTTCTATGTCTTGTTTCAAAATGCCGATTTCTTTTTTATGTCGGTAGCGAAGCTTTCTTAAAAGCACATTCTTTTTTAGGCACTGTTGACAAGAGTTATGGTTACCGGAACCCAAAGAATTTAAGGAAGAACTTGGAAATGGGCTTACAGTTGGTCTAGAGAGAGGATCTTGTTTCGCTGAGATTACTTCAATGTCACTATTTATTGGAGAATTCTCTAGTAATAGCTGTTGTATAACTTTTTCTTTCTTTTTCCTTTCGTAGTGACGTTTCGAATTAACTCTCCATGTTTTTCTTTGGACTCTTAATTGTCTTGGTGTCATATCTGCTGCGCTTTTTATATTTTCTGTTCTTTTCTTTTAAGTTACCTTACTCGTTCTTTTGCTTTCTCTTTTGCATACTTTTCGGGGCCTTACTTTATTTCTGCATATTTACTTTTTTTTGTAGTCGATCTCGCTCTCGTTTCTGCTCCAATGTTTGTTTGGTTTTCTTTGGCATCCTTAGCGATCTATAGAAGTAATTTTTTATTTGCTTTATTTATTTTTATTATGCTTTATTTTTTTAAATTATAATAATTGTATTTTTTTGCTTAGCCAGTTATCGTCACAGTTGGTAAACATAATTTTGCAAAAAAGAAAATAGCAAATAAAAATGAACTAACACAAAATACATTCTAATTGCCATCGTATTAATCTCATCACCATCGCTCAAAAAAACGACGGTAAACGAAGGCACTGAGAAAGAATGTAATGAGGTTTGAATACTTTATCCATAGTTTCCCAAAAAATATCAAAGTAACGGACCTAATGCATATCTTAAACGACAAAGGTATCTATTAAAATTGTAAATTAGCTGCGCACTGAATAAAATCATAAATACTCACTTAATAGTGTGGACGATAGGAAAGAGTACGATTTCAGAATAATCACCTCCCGCAAAACTCTAAACGAAAATATATTTTTTCCACGAACAAGCATGCACCTGCTACGATGTTTGCCAGCCAAATGAGAGATGTGCGCGGGGTATAGTAACAGCAAAGAAGCATTTAAGGGCAAACCCAGACTGCAATTTACACTTTCTTACGAACCGATGGTTATCAG